GCAGGCATAGGCACTGCCTCGATTCGACCGTTCCTGAGGACGGGGTCATTAAGGCGAGCAAACCATCGTTAAGCTCGAGCTTGTCCTGTACATCCACCACTGGCAAGGGCGGAACGCCTTCCCACCGAGGGTCCTCAAAGACTAGCTGGGTTTTTCCAACCTCGTTATCCCAAGTCAAGGCCTCAAACTGAGCTTCTGGACGAGGGGGGGAGACCTGCCTTGCCTCCGAGAGACTCCAAATAGCTCTGAGCCTCTTCAGCCAACTGGGGGTGTCCGTAATCAACCGCCTGAGCCAAAATGGTCGGGAGGTCCAACTGCTTCTGCGCCATTGCACTGTTCACAAAATGGGCGGCCACATGAGAGTGCAAGTGGTCGCTGCAGCCCTTCAACGGGAGGAGGACTCCTGACGAGACGATTGTCTCGTACAGAGCTCGACGTCGGGAGGCCTCTTCGCCGGTACTTTGGACCGAGGACGGCTCCGCTGTGGTCGAAAAACTCTGATGCCACGCTTAGTCCGGACCCTGCGCTAGTTCTCCTAACTCGGTCTCCATCGCGGTGACCGGACCTTGGTAATCCTCGGGAACTGCCCACCCGGCCTTGTCCTTAGCCTTAGGCTTGGCTTTCGCTTTCCCTCGGGCGGTGTCACCTGGAGCGATCTTCGCAGCCTGCTCTTCCTTCGCTTGCGCTCTCAGCTGAGACAGCCTCCCATCGACCTCATTGGGGTTGACCTTGGGGCCGTTCCTCAGCCCACCTCGTCGCAGCACTTGCATAGCGACAGTGTAGTCGAGCTTTGCAAGCGGTGGGAGGGTCTCATGAGCATGCGGGCAGGCAGTGCGCTGGCATCCGATGTGACACGCTGCGTCCCAACAAATGGGCTTCTTGGTCTTGGAACACTGAGGGGCGTGGGCCACAGACCGCTTCACTTCGGTGGGGGTGAGCCTCTTACCAGCCGGGTAAGCCTTGTTTCCTTCACCAGTCTTGAGGGGCTCTGGCTTGAAGGTGAGCTTTGGACCTTTCCCAGCTTTATCGGGCTCGTCGGGCGGAACGCCAGGGGGATCAGAATCAGTGGGACCAGCGGTCTTCCTGTGATCCGGTTTACGCTCCCGGGTGACGTGCTCGTGGAGTTGCTTGTTGAGAAGCCTGGCCATGGCCTTCTTCTGCCTCGGGAGGACGACCCTCTGATAGTAACCTCGTGGATCACCCAGATCCCACACCCTGGGGAACTGAAAGTTCGGGAGCCCATCAGCTCCCGGGGAAAGAGCCAACAGCTTGAGGTCCTCAAGCCGCGGGTTCTCGGTCCCAAGCCTCGAGCAGAGAATGCGGCGTTTCTCACGCACTTCCTCACACCAGACGGCGGTCATTTCCTCGAAGAGCTGCGCGCAGTAGGTGAAAGGAAACGCATTCTCGTCCTCCTCCTGGGCTTCCCGGAGAGCCTGCAGGAATTTCATACGCTCTTGCACGTGCTCAAGCCCATAGGCACTGCCAAACACTTTCACAGCATTCTCGGCGTGTCGCAGCCACGTAAGAAACGTGCTGGGGGGCTTTGAACGAGCCTCAATTTTGTGTTCGGTGGGAGGACTCCAGTTTTCCAGCTGCTCGACCCGTGCGGTAACACAATCAGAAGCCTGCAGCGTGAACGATTCGGCCCCCCCCCCACCAGAGACCTGACACCGCGAGAGCGACGCGGTTGGTGATGAGAACGGGCCACTTGATCAGGCCCAACTCATGCTTGGCGTGGAGGCCTGCCCGTTTGATGCTATGGAAGAGTTCCTTTCCATAGACACCTTTGCATAGCTCAACAGACAGTTGTCCGCAACCCCTGGCCAAGAAAACATCCATCTTTTCTCCGTCTTTCAAAGAACTAACTTGACCTTTGGTCCCGGTTTTATCTTCATCCTGGACTTTTCGGAGCCCGTCGATGGCGTGGATAATCCGGTCAGTAGCCAAGGTGGTCGGACCAGGCCCAAGCCTGAAGAGCTGCCCTGACTGACTACCAAACCTGAGCCCTGGGCAAGTCCCGGGGGGAGAGGAGGAGGTGGAAGTGGGGGCGGACCGACCTCCAATGGGGACCTTCTAGCCCAGGATAGGGGATCCTCCGCGGGAGCAGGTTCAGGCTTTGGGGCGTCCCCCAGTACGCTCAACTGCACAACCTCAAGGGCTCACCCCGAATGCGGTGGCGACCAAAGTGATGGCCTCGCTGACGGATGTGCCCGAAGCCCTAGCGTCCCTAAAGGACTCCAGATGACTCCAGGAGCAACACAGGGTCCACTTCGGGTGGTACACCTTCATCTATCCCATCATTCGGGATGACTTCCGAAACAGTGACAGTTGGGGGGCGAGGTGGCGTTCCAAACTCGCTTTCTTTCGTGGCAGAGGAGACCGTAAGGACTCGACCCTCATCATGTCCGAGCAGGACCATTTGCGGATCAGTCAGGAGCCGCCAAAGATCTTCTGGGCGGAGACTAGAGGGCGGTTCACCTTCCCCCTTGACCCTTTTTCCGTCCCAGTCCTGTAGCCAATCCCAAGCGTGAGCGGCAAGTTGTACTGCTTGAAGTGACAGGCCTCGGGCTTCCAGATCCGAGGGAGGAGAGTAGAGAAACTCCTGCAACCAAGCCTTGGGATATCGACTGGAAAAATCCGTTCTGGGCGGATCGCCAAGACAATGCCAGGGTAAGCTGAGTCTTAAACCCAAAGAGCGAATTTTCACAGCTGCCCGTTCGGTACGCCGGCTGTCCCCCGCAATGCCCTCGACTCCGAGAAACAGGTACCAGCTTGTTGCCATTCCTGTTCCGAAAAATGGGCGAATGCGAAAAGCAATGGTGCACCAGCTTTGGGATGCGCGGAACGCTCGTTCTTTGAGGGAGGCTCATACTCGGAGGCGATCCCTACATTCCTGGGGCTAGGCCCAGGTGAAGCCTGGTCAGAAAATCGGACAGCACGGATGGATCCAGTATCACGTTGGGCATCGGCAGATCGGGCCCTGCGGATGGAATGGAGGAGGGACTCCTCAGGTTTGGGACCCGAACTCCGGGGTGCCGGACTCTGAAAGCGACCGCTCTCTGACAAATGCTTCTTGCAAAGGGGGGTCCCCTTGTGAGCGCCGTAGGTCTTGTTAAAGCAGGACAAAACACTGCATTTCCTCCCTTGGCAAGAAAGCATGTATAGCTGACTGTGGTGGTTGCAAAGGCGAGCACACTCTCTTCCCTGTAAGTCGGAAAGCTGAAGGTCATCAACAAGTAATCGAGTGGGTTCGCTTGCAGCCTTATCTTCACAGCCCTCTGGTGCCAGTGCTCGAGGCTTACCCTGGAGCTCCAGCCCTACCAACACGGCTTCACATGGGTCGGACACGACCTCGGCCTCCGATTCGGAATCGGGGTCCAGAGGGCGGGTCACCCCATGATCTTGAATTTGGCGTGGTGCCTCAGTAGATCTTCGGCAAGAGCAGCAGCGCCAGCATCGACCAAGACCTCGCCGGAATGCACGAACTCCTCGCCAGCAGAGAACAAGTACTCTCCAGCTGTTCAGGCGTCCATAGGCTCCCAGGTCAATGACCGCATCAGCATCTATGGCCGCATAAGCCTTGCAGTGGAGATCCCCTTCCTGTTGGCAGCCCTCCGTGCGACAGAGATGAATCTGCGGGGCTCTCTCGACCTTCTCCCTCAAGCTGCGGGCGGTGACACCCAAGACCTGACCGGGCTTGATCCACAACCCATACCTGTCGACTCGGGTTCGCTGCGACCAGTCAGGCTGCAGACGAATTGCACCTTGGTCAAATCGAAGGACCAAATCATGAGGTCGTCGCCCAGCGCCTCGACCTCGTACTTGTCTCTGGTAGTACTCAGTGTCCACCGGGGCGGATCCACCAGGGCCGACCAAAGAGACAGTAGCGTACGCCTGAGGGGCAGGAGTCTCAGGAAGATGCTGAAGTCTTCTGAAGAGCAGGGTCCACTCCGGCTCTTCGAGAACCACGTCCTCGTCGACAGCAGCAGAAGTCACAGCAAAGGCATCTCTCGCATGTCCTTAGCGACCAGGCCAGGGCGGTTATCACCAAAGTCAGGAGCACGGCAAGGGTAGTCCAACCAGCGATCGGCCAGAATCGTCCGAAGCAAAGCACCCCGGCTTTGTCCAGGAAGTACAAGGCCCAACCCCCGTCGGTTCCCAAGGTCCCCAACTGATCAGGGGTGGAGAACACCGACACATTGGCCCACCCGAAGAGGACCTTGAAATTCCATTCGCTCCACCACACTGACATAGTTCCGGAAGAAGTGGGCCCATTAGGCGGTTCGCCCGGGGGCGGTCCGCCCAACGGGGGAGAGCTCGGCTCGGTGAGGTTTCCCGAGGACCACCATGGGAGCCAACTCTCAACGAGAGTCGCGGCCACCAAACAGTGACCAGCGAGGGCAACCACGGAGCGAGCCATTATGGCAATGTCCCTGATACCAAACTTCAACTGAGCCGAAAAGTCTTGAGACACATCGGCTCATTCACTTGCAGAACTCTATGTTATCGCTAACGAGCAAAACAAGCACGCATTCCCTCTCTCTCTGTCTCTGTCTCTCTTCTGTGCCACCCTCAAAGGTCCCGCGAAACAAGGGGACAAAGCCGCAGGCAGAGCTGCACGAGCTTTAGCCATTTTTGCCCGAATAGTTCGTCAACAGTGGAAAATGGCTTGCAAGCGAGTGCGACCCTTCTGTAGTTGCTGTTGATTGGCACCATGACAAGATAAGCCAACGGAAAACTCAGGCCGGAAAAATCGGTGTGATATGGAATCCTTTCTTGACGGTGGAAACAGGTGGAACTCCCCATATGGCGCAATTCGTAGCCTGACATGCATTTAGTAATCCGTTGCTTTTGGCACTTGGGGGAGCCTCTCCATCCCAAGGTCCCAATAGGAATCTTTTTTTGGCAAGGGGCCCAGGCTGCAATCGCTGGAGACCACCCCAAATTCTGCACCCGACCCCGGTAGGAACATAAACGTGAACGGAACATAACGGAATATCTCAATCAAGCTGGAGCATCCAGCACTGCAGGTCAGGATGGGGGAGGAGCCGCTGAACCACTCCGGTCTGCGGACAGTTGCAGGGTCTTCATTAGGTCGGGTCCCGGGCCTGGGGCATTACAACTTCAAGATTTCAGACAGGAATTCCGAGCTTCGCGAGGAAACAAGGGAACTGGAAGATTAGTGGCTTGAGGACTTTAGAGCTCCAAGGCACAGGAGGAAAAGCAATAACAGTGTAGGTCAGTGTAGGTTCGAAGACTGTTTCCTGAAGCTCCAGCTTTTGGTGCTTGGTAGGGCCACAAGGGCTTCGGAGAGATGGGACATAGATGTCTGGGTTGCAGGTGAAGGAGATTGTATGCACGAACATCCTTACGCCTTACTGCCAACCCCAGAAACCTCAACCTGTAAACCCCAAGCTCTCGGTCTGAAGCCGCCCCCCTTTATCCCCCGCCTCCTCCTGCACCGGTTGGCACCAAATCATTTGGAGGTACTGAGACAGCAAACCCGGCCACCTGGGCTCAGGTTAGTTGGACTCAAGGCACCTGTTGAGTGGACTGAACTTCGGGCTTGAATTTGTACGGGCTTTGGGGCCTACAAGTTTAAGGATCGAGCAAGTCGATTCGAGTTTGGGGGCCTTTGGACATTCAAGGTGTCGGGGGAGTTGGATTTTGTGCAGCGTCTTTCAGTATTCGGCGACTTTTGGATGACGAGGCTCGCGCTCGCGCCTTGACGGACCCTAGCTGGCGCTCGTTCGAACTCATCCGTACCTACAAGCCCCGACTCTTGACTGCCTTGGGGATGCTTTTGGCTAAAGTAGACTTGAAGACCATTGATTTTACCATCGGGTTTTGGGCAACAGACTGTGTACATGTACACGTACATGTAGAACTCTAATTCTTACAAATAAACTTCTATGTTTGTATGTATGTATATAACCTATATAACACCAACCGGCCGACCGGTCGGACCTACATCCATCCACCCAACCACCCACACAAATGCATCCATGTAAAGACCGGTAACTCAGATGATACTTGAACAGCCAAGGTTTCATAAAGGGAATCCAATACGTCTCTTGGAGCCCTGCGTGTGGGGGATGTCGCAAGGTGCAAATGCGATGCTTGATACAAGGCTATACATACTTTGTGTTCTATAGTCGCAATACCAAGTTTTCAGCATTTTAAGAACCATGAGCGAATCTTCTGCATGTTCGTAGGCTCTTCCCTGCGGCCGTGCCGCATGTTGATCAGTGTTACCCATATCACCTTGCGGCAAGACGGGGTGAAGATCTGGACTTTTAGCACTCGCACTCGACAGCGTCAGTCCAGATCTTACAGCAAGGCATCTGAAGATTCAAATCAACTCTCATGCAACGCTTGCTTGGGATTCTGACCGAGGGTGGCAGACTTCTCAGTTGCAAGCCCGACCCTACACAGCAAACACCTCAACGAAGAAGCAGCTGTAGCAAAGCATTTGTCGGTGGCGCGTTGGTCTCTCTATGTTTACAGGCAGAACAGCCAGAATGCAGACGCATATTTTCTTGAGCCAATGAACGACGGTAGGTACTGTTGACTAGCTACATCTTCCACAAAATACACCCCCCGCGCATCTTAGTGCAACGGTAGAGGCGAAGGCGATGGAAGGAAAGACTAGTCACTAGACCGTCGTAAGCATATCACTTTGTGACAGCGTAAACAACTTGCAAACAAAAGCAAATTATGCGGCCAATGTTTTACGCCCTTTGCAATTTGTACGAGTAGGACAGCTACCAACCCGTTAGGGCGGTGCCGACGCTTAAATCTCACTTCACTGCTAACCAGACGGCATCTAAATGTCTCAGAATACCATCCCGTTAGGGAGGTGATCAAGCTCGGCACGATGGGCCTTTGAGCAAATGACCTCAATAGATACGGTCACGATGGTTGGTCCTGTAATTGAAGACCTCATGGACCCAACCTGACAAAAACCATTGGGCATGAGAGGTGTCCAGAATCGTGAAGCCATGCGGGTTTCCATGAGTTGGAATGGCATTCACCACTGAAGTCGGCTGGATGTAATCCTCGGTCATCGCAGCGAACACCGCCCATTGGTACATGTCAACGCGGTGCCAGTCAAGTCGCCTGGCAAGCGCAGGATCAATGATGTTGCCGGCAAGATCATTCCCCAACACGAAATGCGGGTACAACAACCCCGCGACCCTGAGCTGCTCAAAGAAGTTAACAACAGTCTCGCGCATCCGGACCTCTCGGTCGGAGACATTCCTCGTCTCGAAGAACACGCCGAAGGTCGGTGGGTCATGGGGTCGCCGGCGATAGGTCTCGGACCATTCGCGCCTTGTGCCGAGATCAACGGCAAAGGACGGTGCCTCGCTCACTGTACCATCCATAGTGGCATCGGGAGCAACCGTTTCCGGTGCTGGAGTGCTGAATCCTGTACCAGCACGCATGGCGTCCCAATCAGCCTCGCTGATGTAGTCGGACGGATCACGAGCCACACGCCGGGGCGGCGGCATCGCAGGCTCCCGAGGGGTGCGATCGGTAGATGAACCTGCAGCATCTCCTGGGTTGGTCCGGATGTGGACCTCAGTGGGGCGATGTCTGGCGATCGGGGACCTTGTGCGATTGCGGTCAGTGGAACCCGATGCACACTCGTCAGAGCTGCGACCTCGCCTTGCAGGAGAGGCGGGAGGCTCAGGTGGGCGACGCTCGGACGCAGGTACCGGAGTGGTCAACCTCACGTGGCCGCTCTCCCCGATGCGCTTATCCATATAATACTGCTGGTACCGGCGATAGTAGGGTGTATTAGCCAGTAGCTCGTTGAGCTGACGCTTGCCAAGCCCTTGCGCCTCAGCGGGTACCTGCAGATTTCTCTGGGTGCGCAGAGAGGGATTTGCCCTCTCGATCCTTGTCCGGCTCAGCGGCAACTGTGCCTGGAAGAAAGTAGCCAGCTCGGCCATGATCGGCAAGATTTCATTCTGCACGACGATGTATTTCTCCCCATCGTACTGCAGGATAGAAAACTCATGCTGATTCGACTTCACAGCCTTGATGAGAACTGCAATCTCATTGATGGTGTAAAACCGATCATGAAAACAAATCAGACACTCCGTGAGGAGGTCGATCTCAAGCTGGCCTGTCACCCAGAGGAGGGCAACCTTCCCTGTGGCATCATAGTAGGTGGACGAACCATGCCCCTTTCCCTTGCCTTGAGGATCGGGAAGCCTCACGTCAGCGAAGCGTTGCAGCGCCTCGACGGTGTGAAAGCTGAGACCCATTTTGGCATAGTTGTGGGCAGTGATTGGGTCCACGCTGTATTGCCCCTGCGGAGTGGTGTTGTGAAGCTTCTCCGCTCTCTTCTGCTGGTTGAGGACCTTTTGGCGGATGCCAGACGCTGTGCTCTGGATGCGCTCCCTCTCCTCCGGCCCTTGACTCTTCACACGCTGGCGTGCGAGTCCCGCAGATGGCTGCAAGTCAATGATGTTGACCTGCCTGCCCTCTCGGGCGGCGTTTCGCCGGAGTCGATCGGGCTCGGCAATAATCGCAAGGTCGGTCATCTCGATGAGACGACGTTGGCAACCTGGACAGGAGATCATTCCGTCGATGTACTTGTGATTGCATGAGCTGCAATGGTACCCGGGGTATCCCGGGGCAGAGGATCAACTCCTGCTTAATCCAGTGCCTTGGCTGGACCCTTTGGCGAAGTCGGATCCGCTTGCCTTCCATGGATGGCCATACGTGGATGCCAATCCCAAGCGAGCCATCGTAGGTTCCAACGAGCTGATCGTTGTTCTTCCTACGCTCAATAACCTCATCACCGACCTCGCTCAAGATGTCCGCCGAAATGCGAAAAGGAGTCTTGCAATTGATGGCAACAGGCGCCCACTCACCGATGGTGAGATTCTCGGCGCTCTCCAGCAAGTCGAGAAAGCAATTGTGCTGCTCCATGGCAAACTGATCCGGACCAAAGATGTACTTGTGAGTGCCATCCTTGTTCCAGCTCGCTAGAGCGGAGTCGATGTTCCGACGGAACGCCTGATAGGCCGGATTGACCCACACAGGCTCTGCTGTTCCCCGCTGATAAGCGTAAACCAGATATCGATTGCTGATCCAATCTGGTGTCTCCAGTGCCCCGGAGCGAGTCTCGAAAAGCCGGACGCCGTCCAAAACAGCCATTTGGAGATCGATGGCGAACTCGACGTCCGCCGCCTCGCGAAGGCCTGCGCTATCATCCCTTTGCCATTCTGGTTGCTTTGACATCATGACGAAAGCTCTGCTACCACTCTCGTGGAGCGCGGCACCGCCTGGCAACAATCCGTGTCTGATGATCTCTGGGAAGTGCCTCATAAAGGTGCCGTGGTAGCCCAGTTTGCAAGGGAAATCGACAAACTCCTGAGAGTACATGTCGAAGGGATGGAGAGCAGGCCGAGTCGCTAGACTGGCGTCCCATGGCACAAAGGAATGCACCACGGAGTGAATGTCGGCGAGTTCGGTATCGTCACCGAAAAGCCCTGACCAATGCCCATGGATCGCTCGAGCCCTAAGCACGTCAAATTCCTGATTGTTGTGCTTTTGGATGTAGATCTCGTAGCGGGCTTTCCCGTCGACTGGGGTCTTAAAGACTTCGAAGATCTGGGAGACCTTGAGTCCATTCCAGATCTGGTTTAGAGCATCGATGAACTCTTCCCAGTCCATTGAGAGGTCACTCCGTCGAATCGACACCGTTGGCGTGCGATTCCCGTACTCAGGCTTGTTGGTGAAGCCTCTGAGGATGAATGCACACTTCTTGCCGAGTGCGAAGCGCTTGCCCTCACTGAGGTGGCGATGATCAGATGCGAAGGGTGGCAGATCCAGGCCTGACAACCAAAACTGACCATCCCTTCCGGGAGGTGATGCTTCTGCCTTGGCACTGGCAGTGTGCTCCGCTTTCGGCGTAGGTGCCGACTTCACAGCGGTGATTGGCATCTTCTTTGGAGGCGGTGGCTGCAACGGTTCAGAAGGCCTTGCGCCAGATGATGCAGACTTCCCAGGAACTTCCTTGGGTGGGAGCGTGCCAGATGCCGACGATGAGGATGCAGCCTGCGGCACACCAGGAGGCACAGCATGAGCCTTCGTGGCCAAAGGTAGGATACCAGTTGCCTTAGGCTCCGCGGCAGCGGGCCGTGACTTAGGAGGAACAGGTGGTTTCTTGGCCTCCTCCAACTGCATTTCCCTCATCAAATTCTGAATCCCGACGGAGCCCCTCGCGTAGAATCGAGGCCGCTTGCTGAGTTCTTCTTCTGTGAGCTCCTCAACGCCCTTGAAGATTTTGTTAGACTCAGCATCCTCGTTAGAGGTGCGACCAATCTCCAGATCAAGACCGTAGACGCCAAGAGCGTTCGCCAAGGCAATCTCTTCGTGGTCGCAGCCTCTTCACCGTGACTGCTGATCTGAAGCTTGGTGATCATCACAGAGGGGCCGAGTTGTCCTCTGTTCTCTGGACAACATTCTCGGCTCCAGGTGCCGTGTCCAAGAGGGCGCGATCAGTGTCCGTTAGCTCCCCTGGCTCAGCACACAGAAGGTCCTGACGTGCGGCCAGCAATGGTGCGCTCAACACGATCTGTTCGTCGTCCCCCCGGACGTCTGGCGGTTCCTCACGCTGCGTATCAGCACAGACGTGCATGTCCTTGAGCGGCGGGACCGTGATTCTGGCATCTGGTTTGGCCAGATGGAAGTGTTCGAAGAAGACCACCTCTCGGCGGTTGGCAATCAGCTCCGAGCGCAAGTCAGTCACTGCCCGATCGAAGACCGTCGCAGTGACAAGCGACTTGTACCAGGTGACCACCGCGGCCACATTGTCGGCTGTGAAGTTCGTGTGAAATTTGTCTGGCCTGTCGGTGGCGCCCAAAATCGGGTTGGGATCCACCAGCCTCACACCTGCTTCAGCCAACACTTTCGTGTGGCGAGTCATCTCCTCGTCGTATTCTTCCGGCAGGCCGTACATAAAGCCGTTCTCAGGACCTGCGACCATTGTCACAGAATTCACCCCTGGACGGTCCTTTAGGGCGGCGATCTTGACGACATCTTCCTGAACCTTCTTGAGCTGCTTGATCGGCCATTCGAAGGCTTTGCGAGCCATCTCGGCCGTCTCCTTCACCCACGGCGATTGGTGGTGCCAGGTAAAGGCCTTGTAGCCCCACTTGCCGTAGACGTCATTGCCAGTCCACGAAATGAAAATGTCAAACCCTTCCGGGTGACGAGGTTCATGCTTCCTGATGAGAGCAACGATC